AATCTCAGAATAAGGTGTCACCCATTTAAGATGGAGATGAGGAGGATTTTCTTCTGTCAGAAGGAAGAGAATCTTTGGAATTCTTTGCCACAGAGGGCTGTCGAGGATGGGTCATTGTATATTCAAGGCTGAGACTGACAGGTTTTTAATCCACAAAGGAATCAAGATTTATAGGGAAAAGGCAGGAAAGTGGAGTTGAGGATGATCACATCAGCCACGATTTTGTTGAATGGTTTACTTCTGCTCCTACATCTTATGGCCCAATCTGACTGTATAGTGCACCACATAGACTTCACGCTGAGTGAGAAGTGACAGGTGTTACCCGCTGAGACACAGACAACACCAATCTTAGATTGTGCATTGATGCCTTATAGTTGAGCAGTTAACAAATGGGGAATAAAGTCAATGTCAGTCTTTGTGTCCCCTTCCCTGCTCACCTCATCAACAGCAGCAAGAAGTTACATTTGCATAGCACCTTTCAGGTTATTAAGCACCCCAAGGTGCTTCAGAGAAGCAATTATTTATCATACAAAACTTTGCCATCAAGCCACATAAGAAGCTACTATAGGAAATTGGAACAGGAGTAAGCAAGTGAGCCCCTTGACCCTGTTTCACCATTCAATATGATCATGGCTGCTCTGTGGCCCAACTCCATAGATCTACCTTTGGCCCATATCCTGTAATACCTTTGCTTAACAAATATGTGTCCATTTCAGACTTAAACCTAACAGCTAATCCAGCATCCCCTGCCATTTGTGGAAGATGGTTCCTCACCTCTACCACCCTTTGTGTGTAGAAGTGCTTCCTAACATCTCTCCTGATTGATCTGGCCCTAATTCTCAGACTATACCCCCGAGCTCAAGAATCCCCAACCAGTGGAAATAGTTTATCTACCCTGTCTTTTCCTGTTAATTTCTTGAAGACTTCAATAAGATCATCCCTTAACGTTCTAAATTCTAGAGAAAACAGGCCTAATTTGTACAACCTTCCCATATAACAGCCCCTGAGGTCCAGGTACTATTCTTGTAAACCCATGTTGTGCTCCCTCCAAGGCCAATATATTCTTCTGGTGGGGACTGGAAAGCTTGGTGAATGGGGTAGTTTTCTAAGGTGTGGTCAAGCTAATCTGATGTTGGCAGACATTATTACTCAGGCCCTGTCATTGCCCTTTTAAGAACATCAAGAGTTAATCATTCAGCCAGACAGCTTTTACTGTGGGGATGTAATGAGAATAGATGGAGTGTGGACACTGTGTTTTTCAGAGTGGGATTGTGACCAGTTAATAGAGGGTGAGCTGATAACCATACCGCCAAATAATGCAAGGTTAAGCATAATTTGTAGAACATAAGAGACATCATTTGTTAGCTGCAATGAGGACTAATGGCATCATCCTTGAATCTATCAGAGTGGACAATCCATCATCGGCTAATAAAAGTATGTACCTCTCAATTAAGTGGTGACATAATTTAAGGGAGTGGAAAAATTGCAGACTGTCTAATTGAAGAGCGTTAATTTGCTACTGTGACCTCCTGTGAAAGGGGGTGAACATTTCAGGCTGTAACAGGCATGATCAAAGAATCGCTGGGCCAGCAGACGTCATTCGTCTAGCGCCCAGGGTTAAACAATCCAGTCCTAAACCCCGTCTATACTGGCCCCCAAATTCCATGCAGTTCAAATTGCATCAATTTTAATGTGCTTTTCTGGGACCCTTCACTTTATCTGTGATCTCCTCCAGCCCTACCACGTTACAATTCTGACTACTCTTATATCCCTGACTTTCTTTGTTCTAGCACCAAAGGCCTTGCTTTCAATTACCTGGACCAATTGTCGGTTGTGGAATTCCCTCACTTAAACTCTCTGCCTTACTGCTTTTCTCTCTCTCTCTCTCTCTCAATCCATCTCCCTCTCTCTATATGTCTTCCTTTCCTTCTCTCTATCTCCCTCTTTGTCTCTGTCCCGCTATCTCACTCTATCTCGCTCTCTCTCTCTATCTCTCTCTGTCTTCATCTCTCTACATATCCCACTCTCTCCTTATCTATCTCCCCCTCTCTCCCTTTCTCTCTCTCTACCCCCCTCAATCTTGCGCTCTCTCTCTCTCTTTATCTCATCTTTCTCTCTCTATCTATTTTCGTCTCTCTATCTATCTCCATTTCTCTATATATCTCTCTCTCTATCTATCTCCCTCTCTCTTTCTTACTCTCTCTCTCTGTCTCTCTCCCTTGATGACACTTCTATAAAACTGTCTCTCGGACCAAGAATTTGTGTGTTTGCCCAATGCCTGTTTAGGGAAAGTGATATCAAAGCGGTCAGTGGTCTGGTAAGCCCCAGGTTAATGTTCTAGGGAGATGTGTTCAAACCCCACCAAGGCAGATGATGAAATTTGAAGTCAGGAAACAAAAGTTAGTTTAAATGAAAACACTGCTATTGCTGTAAAAACCTATTTTGTTCACTTATGTCCTTCAGGGAAGGAATTCTGCCACTCTCACCTGATGAATCCAGACCCACAGTAATATAGTTGATTCTCAACTGTCCTTTGGGTAATTAGGGATAGACAAGGCCCATTAAATAATTAAAAATGACATGGCATATCAGTGTTAAATTTTCTTTGGTAACACTCTGGTGTAGCTCCTACAGGTGGTTGAGAGCATTAATGATGACCAATGGCTATATCTTACAGAGTGCGAGGATTTGCAATGACCTTCCTAGGGGCCATTAACTCATCGATGAATTTACGCAAAATCTCTGAGAATTGTCAAGAACTCATGAGATGAGGGAGTGCAGGTCGTGAACCTGCCTGGAACTCTCTACCACAGAAGGCTGGGGAGGGCCAGTCACTGAATATATTCAAGAAAGGTATAGGCAAGGCTGTTGACTCTCAACTGCCCTCTGGACACTTAGGAATGGGCAATAAATACTGGCCTGGCCAGTGACGTCCATGTCCAGTGAATAAATAACAAAAAGAGCTACATATATTTTTAGACTTTAAAGGCATCAAGGGGTATGCAGACAAAACAGGAATGTGATATTAAGACAGAGGATCAGCCATGATCACATTGAATGGGGGAAATGGCTGAAAGGCCTACTCATGTTGCTAGTTTACATGAAGTCAGTGGGATTCAAAATTTGTAATGAAAGAAAAAACTTGCATTTATGGAGCACCTTTTACAACATCAGCTAAACCAAAGATTGTAAAAAGGTATTTTTTTGAAGTGCAGACATGGTTGTAATGTAGGGAGATGTGGTCACTGATTTGGATTCAGCAAGACCACTCCCCAAAGCGCCAATGACGACAGATCACCAATTTCAGTGATATTGACTGAGGGCCTAGCAAGAGCACCACGAAGAGCCTTAGCTGCCCTTCTGAGAGTGCTGCAGAATCTTTCATACCTAATTGAGAGGACCGACCTGGACTCAGTCTAATGCCTCATCCAAACAGATGGCAATTTCCCCTCCTCACTACTGCACTGTGTACCCCAATCTGGAGCGTGCACTCATGCCTCTCATGTGAAATTTGGGGACCCATGATCTACATTGTAGTGCTGAGTCCTGGCCAACACCAGAACCACCTGATCAGGCTGTACCATTTAAAACACATAACTAAGCTCCAAAGTATTGGTGTGGAGGCATGAGGAACCATGCAGGAAGGGTTTTGATTTTATTCCGCGCTGTGTACACTTCTGTAATTCTCAGGTGACAAAGTATCTCACCGAGCCACTCTGTCATCCCCATTTCTCTACTTGAACTTGATGTTCCTGGAGTTAAGAATTCAAGGTCATTTGAATGGAAACAAATCAAATTCTTGAGGGGTTTGGCAGGCCTAATGTGGAGAACACATCTCAGAATGTTCAGAGTAAATCCAGAGTTACGATCTCAGGCCAAGAGGTCAGTTACTCTGAACTGAGATGAGGAGAACTTCCTTCAATTCCAAATGTTGGGAATATTTGGAAATCTCAACCCCAAAGGAATGTGGATGCTTTGTCATTGAGTCAGTTGCTCTAGGTCTAGAGGACACTGGTGAGACCACATCTACAGTACTGGTCACTCTACTTACGAAAGTATAGAAGCAGTTCAGAGAAGGTTTACTAGACTAATACCTGGAATGAGCAAACTGCCTCATGAGGAAAGGCTAGATAGGCTGGGCCTGTATCCTGTGGAGTTTAGAAGAGTCAGAGGTGACTTAATTGAAACATCTAAGATCCTGAGGGGAGTTGACTGGGTGGATGTTGAAAGGATGTTTCCTCTTGTGGGAGAATCTAGGACTAGGGGTCACACAGTTTAGAAATAAGGGGCCGCCTGTTTAAACAGAGATGAGGAAACATTTTTTTTTTCTCTTGTGAGTTTTTGGAATTCTCTTCCTCAAAAGTCTGAGGTAGATAGACCCTTGATTCCCAAGGGGATGGAAGATTATCGAGGGTAATGCAGGAATGTAGGATTGAGGTTAAAATCAGATTAGTTGGTGGAGCAGGCTTGAAGTGCTGAGTGGCCTACACTTGTTCCTCGTTTGTACATTTGAAACAGAGATGCACATATTTTTTGTTACGAAGGGAATTAAGGAATATGGGGAAGGTGTGAGGAGATAGATTTGAGGCGGGTGATCAGTGACAGAATCACAGATTTGTTATAGTGCAAAAGAAGGCCATTTGGCCCATTATGCCTACACTGTTTCTATCCCCAAATGCCAATCTCCTGCCTTTTCCCCATATCTCTGCACACCATTTCAATCCAAATAACCATCCAGTGTAACAAAGTATGGAGCTGGAGGAACACAGCAGGCCAGGCAGCATCAGAGGAGCAGGAAAGCTGATCTTTTGGGTTGGGACCTTTCTTCAGGAAAATGTTCATATTAAACAGGACAGCAAGCTCAAGGGGAAAAACCAGCATTAATTTATTACCCTGTTTTATTTTGATGTTCTTAAAGGCACTGTTGTCTTGGTGAGTGTGTGAGTGGTGTTGGATGGCCTGCAATGAATTTCATTGGGTTCTTTTCTTCTTCACTCTAGAACCTACTGTTTCCGAATCAGCCCCCCCAGCCTTCCAGTAGATTTGCTGTCTCCTCAACTGGTGACCTCACCATTACCAACATTCAGAGGTCTGACGCTGGCTACTACATCTGTCAGGCCTTGACCGTGGCAGGAAGCATTCTTGCCAAGGCTCAGCTGGAGGTCACGGACGGTAAGCGAGGGATGTCAAAAAGGCAACCTGAACCCAACAGGTCGCGCAAACGGTCAAATGTCCAAACTGGCTGTTGAGGGGAAAGGGGGAACAGCGGGGGGAAAGGGGCATTGTATTGTCGAACCTAACGGTGAGCTCTTCCCCCTACACAGATCAGTCGGCAGAGTGGACAAGATCAACAACAATTCACATTTCAAAAGGCTACAGGGGGGTGAAGTAGGTGGTTTAGAGGAAGAGGCTCATGGTATTATCACGAGACTTTTAATCCAGAGACCAGCGTAACGTTTCAGGAACCTGGGCTCAAATCCTGCCATGGTTGTTGGTGGAAATTGAATTCAATTTTTAAAAATAAAATCTGCAATTAAGAATTTTATGATGACCATGAAACTATTGTTGATCGTCGGGAAAACCCATCTGGTTCACTGATGTCCTGCCATCCTTCCATAGTCTGGCCTACATCTGACTCCAGACCCATAGCAATCTGGTTGCTCGCTTAACTGCCCTCTGGGCAATTAGGGATGGGCATTAAATGCTGGTCGAGCCAGCGACGCCCTCATCCAATGATTGATTGAAAAATTTAAGGACCTTTCTCCATGGATCAAGAGAAGTAAAGCAGGCACCTGACTGAGGTTTTCAAGAAGTGAGAGATTTCAATGGGACATTTCTTTGCATTTTGTGTGTGTGTGTACCTGTGCATGCATGTGCATGTTTATTTATGTTTATCTGTTTTATCTGAAAGTGTGAGTAATTTTGCATTTGAGTATGTGTATTTATGTATTTAAGGAGCAGAACTAGGCCACTCAGCTGGTTAAGTTTGCTCCTCCATTTCATATGATCATGGCTGATCAACACTTCAATACCTTTTAACCACCTACATCCCTATAACCCTGTATGCCAACAGTAATCAGACATGTATCTCTTCAAAATCTGAAACAAAACCAGAAATTGCTGGAAAAGCTCAGCAAGTCTGGCAACATCTGTGGAGAGAAATCAGGGTTAGCGTTGAGTGACCCTTCCTTAAAACTCATTGGAACAGATGCGACAGAGATCGAGGGATTGGGAGAACGGAATAGAGTCTTTACAGGAAGTGGGGTCTGAGGAGGTATAGTCCAGGTAACAGTGGGAGTCAGTGGGTTTGTGGTGGATATTGGTGGCAGCCTGTCCCAGAAATGGAAACAGAGATGTTGAGGAAGTGAAGGGACGAGTCAGAGATGGACCAGGTGAAAGTGAGAGCAGGGTGGAAATTGGAAGCAAAGTTGATTAACTTTTCCAACTCCGGATGAGAGATGGAGGCAGCTTTGATGATAACGTCAATGTAATAGAGAAAGAGTTGTGGGTGGGGCCTGAATTCGAAACCGAAAGAACTGTGGATGTTGTAAATCAGAGACAAAAACAGAAATTGTTGGAAAAACTCAGCAGGTCTGGCAGGATCTGTGGACAGAAATCAGAGTTAACATTTCAGGTCGAGTGACCCTTCCTCAGAACTGCTCTTGGGACTGGAATATGAATGGAACAAGGAATGTTCCATGTGCCCCACAAAGAGACAGGCATAACTGGGGCCCATGCGGGTACCCATGGCCACCCCTTTGACCTGAAGAAAATGAGAGGAGTTAAAAGAGAAAGGTGAGGTCGAGCTCGGCCAAGCCGAGGAGGTTGGTGGTGGATGAGGACAGTTTAGGCCTTTATTCCAGGAAGAAGCAGAGAGCCATGTGACCATCTGGTGGGGGATGGACATGTAAAGGGATCACACATCCATGATAAGGAGGAAGCAGCTAGAGCTCACAAACTGGAAGCGCTGAAACTGGCGTATAGCATCAGAGGTATTGCCGATGTAAATGAGAGGGGACCGGACCAGGGAGAAAAGACCGAGTCAAGGTAGAAAGAGATGAGTTCTGTGAGGCAGGAGCAGGCAGAAACAATGGGTCTAAAGAAGGGTCCAGACCCAAAACGTCAGCTTTCCTGCTCCTCTGATGCTGCCTGGCCTGCTGTGTTCATCCAGCTCCACACCTCAACACCTCAGATTCTCCAGCATCGGCAGTTCTTACTATCTCAGAAACAATGGGTCTGCCTGGGCAGTCTGGTTTGTAGACTTTTGGAAGGAGGTAGAAGCGACCTGTATGGGGCTGGGGCACTATCAGCTTGGAGACAGTTGGGGGGAGATCACCAGATGAAATGAGTTTGGTGGCCATCGTTGACACAATGGCCTGATGTTCCATCACGGGGTCATTGTCCAGGGAGAGACAGGAGGAGGTATCTTTTTTTTCCTTTATTCATTCACGGGATGAGGGTGTCGCTGGCTAGGCAGCATTTATTGCCCATCCCTAATTGCCCTGAGGGCAGTTAAGAGTCAACCATATTGCTGTGGGTCTGGAGTCACATGTAGGCCAGACCAGGTAAGGATGGCAGTTTCCTTCCCTAAAGGACATTAGTGAACCAGATGAGTTTTTCCTACAATCGACAATGGATTCACAGTCATCATTAGATTCTTAATTCCACATATTTTATTGAATTCAAATTTCACCATCTGCCATAGTGGGATTCGAACCAGTGTCCCCAGAACATTATCTGGGTCTCTGGATTAACAGTCCAGCAATAATAAAACTAGGCTATTGCCTCCCCTGAGAGCAGGTGCTCAACCTTTGTAATGTAGAGGTCAGTCCGCCAGACTACAACAACATCACCTTTATTGGCAGGCTTAATAACAAAGTCAGGGTTGGATCTGAGAGCACAGAGCGCAGTCAGTTCCCGGGAGACTCGGTTAAAATCGGTAAGCGCGGGGGAGGGTGGGGGCAGAGGAATTGAGGTGACAATGTGATGTTGACAGTTCTCGATGAACAGGTCGAATGCAGGTAACAGGCTGGAGGGAGGGGCCAGGTGGGGGGAGAGTGTTGGAACAGGGCGAAGGGGCCTGTGGGACAGGGAGAGGACTTTTGTCCAAAGAAATGGACATGGAGGTGAAGACAATGGAAGAAGAGTTCAATGTCATGCCGTGCCCGAAATTCATTGAGGTAGGGACACAGAGGGATAAAACTGTTTCTGATTTACAGCGTCTGCTGTTCCTTTGGCTTTTCTTCAAAAACTGAGCCTCCTCATCCCTCTGGGGGAAGGAATTCCAAAGATTCATCACCCTGTGAGCCAGTTCAGATGATCCTCAGGATGGAGGGATTATCTTATGATCAAAAACTAAACAGGTTGGGACTCTACTCGCTGGAGTTTAGAAGAATGAGAGGTGATCTCATTGAAACATGTCAGATTCTTAAGGGCCTTGACAGGGTAAATGCTGAGAGGATGGTTCTCCTCATGGGAGAGTTGAGGACCAGAGAGCATTGTCTCAGAATAAAGGGGCACCAATTTAAGACTGAGATGAGGAGGAATTTCTTCTCTCAGACGGCCGTGGATGTTTGGAACTCCTTATCACAGAGAGCTGTGGGGGCAGAGTCCTTGTGTATATTTAAGGCTGGGATAGATAGATTCTTGATCAGTCGGGGAATCAAGAGTTATGGGGAAAGGGCAGGAATGTGGTCATGAGGGATGTCGGATCAGCCATGATCCTATTGAATGGATCATGGAGCAGGCTCGAGGGGCCAAATGATCTTCTCCTGCTTCTATTTCTTTGGTGTTATGGTCAGATTAAAAAAATAGTTTCTTCACCTCAGTCCTGGTTGACACAAATATGCACATACATTTGTGCTCGTATTTGGTATGTGCATGTATATTCTATAAGTTTTGTGGTACGATGGATAGAGTCCCTGCTTCTGAACTAGCAGTCTTAGATATAAGTCAGGAGTTGATGACTGAGGAAGGTGTGTTTATATTGTGACCAGACAGGATGAAGATCAACCTGCAAATCCTTACATCACGTACCAATGGCAGGCAGTAAGAGCAGGAGAGATTGAGGTGGTGGAAACAATGTTGGAAATGTGGAAATATAGAAAACAGGAGCAGGTGGAGGCCATTCAACCCTTTGGGGGTAGTAGACTGATCATCCAACTCAGTCCCCAGTTCCCACTTTCTCCCCATATCCTTTGATCCCTTTAGCCACACGACCGTCACTATTACTAGCTCCAGACTACAACATACATGCAGGTTTGCATGTTACCTTAATGTGAGTATGTGTGAGTTTGATAGCTCATGGGAGACTGGAGAAAGTGAGTTTGAGAAGGTGTCAAACACATTGAAAAACTTTTGAGTTTGAGTCATTGAAGACATTGCTAAAGTCTCTAGACACCCATCTGTTTGCTACTTCAAGCATTACCTGCCCACATGGGGCAGACTGCAGATTGTACATTAGACTCATCAGTCAACTTACAGAACACATCATATCGGGGAACACACAAAGCACCCTAATCTTTAGGGACAACCTTAGAAAGGGATGTGTGAGAGAGCACATCTGAATACGTATATAAGTGTGTATCTTCATGAGCATTTGTCTTCTAACTGTGTATGTGAAGTGAAAGACATAGTGATGGACAAGAGATCAGAATTAGATGAGTGCCAAGACATTGAGGGGTTGTCCATCTGAAAGAGATTACAGAAATTGGAGGGGCAAGGATTTGGCAGGATTTGGAAACAAGGACAAGGATTTTAATATTAAGATAGCCAAAAGAACTGCAGATGCTGTAAATCAAGATCAAAAACAAAGTTGCTGGAAAAGCTCAGCAGGTCTGGCAGCATCTGTGAAGGAGAAAACAGAGTTAACGTTTTGGGTCCGGTGACCCTTCCTCAGAACTCTGCGTTCTGAGCAAGTGTCACCG